GATGGCAGTTATATAGCTTGAGGAGGATGTTAATGTTAACTCAGCTTAGCATCTCTAGTCTTTCTTGGTCTCATGGAGATGTATTTGCCGATGGACTCATAAATTGAAGAGTTTGGATTATTTTATGTCACCTTGGCTGAAACACTATATGTCGCTGCAAAGGTATTCTTTGATATGAAATTAGCAATTAAATCAATAGACTAGTAAAGCAGATTACTCTCCATGATGTGGGTGGGCCTCATCTGATCAGTTGAAGGCCTTAAAAGAAAAAAGCGAATTCTGCTACAGAAGACTGCCTGCAGACTTGAGCTGCAACATCAATTCTTCCCTGTGTCTCCAGCCTGCCAGCCTGTCCTGCAGATTTCAGACTTGCCAGACCCCAAAATTATGTGAGCAAATTGCTTAAAATAAATCTAGATAGGTAGACAGACATACAGACAGAGAGATAGATAAGTAGATAGATAGATGATAGATAGATAAATAGATAGATGATAGAAATATAGATAACATAAGTGTATGTGTATGTATGCATATCTCATTAGTTCCGTTTCTTTGGAGAACCTTGACTAATACAAAGACAAAAGATTTCAAAATGTAAAGTAACTCTATTAGTCATTTTTTCTCTATATATCAGAATTTCAGTGATTCACAGCAATAAAATATATCTATTTCTTTTTCTTACTCATGGGTCTATGGGTCAGCTGTAGTTCAGCTAATTTAGTTCATTCAGATGCCTGATCTTCATTAAGCTAGGGTAGACTCCAAGCTTTGGGTTACATTTAGGTTTGCCCAGAATTATTCGTCTTTCTCCTAGGACTAGAGTTATGTGACTACTCAGCACTTCTTATTCATGCGGTCGAGCATAAGAACATGAAAGAATAAAAAGATCTTAGGAGCGCAGAGGCCTTATCTAGAAACTGCCACACTGATGCTTCCAGTTATTCCATTGGCCAAGTAGGTACATGGCCAACATCAATGGGATGGAGAAGTTACTTCAGCCACCAGTGGGATACAATGTAGATACCTTGGCAAAGGCCATAGCTCTTATACAGAAAGAGAGCAAAGAATTGGGAACAATAACTCAGTCAACCTGAGGGACCTTGTTAGATATATTTCTGAAAAACAAGTGTCAACTGGGAGGAGGAGGAGAATAAAGAAGTAAGCAGACATAAACTCTTTCTGAAACAAGATGGAAAAGGAAAAGAGCAAAAGAAAGAGGAAAGGATAGGAGAGGAAAGAAGAGTTTTGATTAGAAGTTGAAAGGATTAGCAGCCAAAGGACTCAATATTAATTCAAAATAAACATAGACCTAATTTAGGGCAGTAGGGAGGGGACAGAACTAAGAATTATTGAAGACCTATTATATTCAGAGCACTGTGCTAGGCAATTTACATACCCGATATGATGTAATCCTTAAAACAACACTTGGGGTGGATACTATTGTCAGAACTGAATTGAAAAACGTTTTGGAAATTACCCTTATGAGACTTGTTGGCCTAATCCAATATGCTTGTAAAACAGAAAGAGGAAAGTAAGATGACTCCTAAGCATCCACTGGGCAGTTGGTGTGATGGTTCCCCATTACCTGAGATGAGGAACACAGAGGGAGGGCCAGTTTGTGAGCTGAAGGAGATACATTTTTTTTTACTTGTGTTGGTGATAGCTATAGGACATCTATGTAAGATAGCCAACAAGTGGTTGGAAATTTGTATCTTAGGGCTCAAGAAGGGAAGCCAGTCCTGGAGAAACACTCCAGAAATAAAGACAAAAGCATTCCAAGCACAGAAAAATTGTATTAGCAAAGATATGAATGTGTCCTGTGCAGTTCATATTGATGAAACAGCTAGCAATTTCATATACTGTTTTGACATACACATGTGTCTAATCATATGTATCAGGCTGCGCATAGCAGAGTAGTGGGAGATTAGGTTGAAAAGATAAGCTTGTACCTGATTGCAATTGTCCTAGAATACTAGAATAGGACGTTTGGGCTTTTATCAAGAAAGGGCCACTAGCCACTATAGGTTTTTGTGCAAAGGTTGACTTAAGAGCCTGGCTTTTTAGAATACTGATGAAGCAGCAAGATAGACACCGGACCAAAGGTAGAAGGCCAAGTGGAAGGCTACTGTATTAGTTTCTGTAAATGCTAACAAGAACCTAAACAGGGTAGTGGCGGTAAGATGGGAGAATTGGTTTGAAAGAAACTATCATGCAGATGGGAGAATTGGTTTGAAAGAAACTATTGTGCAGCACAGTAACCATTCTGCACATCATTAAATACGGATCAAGCTAATTTTGTAACTTCACATGGCTCTAATGGTTTCTTCTCTTCAGGTATGCAGAGCCTTTATAATTTACCGGTTATCTGTTTGCATAATTTTTAATTAAGAGTTATAATTTCCCTGAAGGAGAGACTGTAACTGTTTTTTGTCCTCTGCTATTTCTGCAACATTCATAAGAATAGATACTGACTAAATAAATACTTATAGAATGAGAAGATGGATGCATGCTGCTCCTGATCACATCACGGTAACATTTCCAGGTTCTCTTCGCTCTTCCTTTCTCCCCTGCTCCTGTCTCTCACAATCCCAGCAAATATTCCCCTCCCTCTCACCTCTTTAAAGATGGCCGGGGGGTGGTAATTTGCCTCAAGGAGTAACCAGATTACTGAGCAGCCTGCATTCAGTGAGATACTGATGTGATTTTTTTTTTTTCTTGTCTTGCTTTCAACCAAATTTAATTGATCCTCTCTTTTTTGATCCTAATAATTTTTGATGTTATCGCAATCATATCCAGTAACTTTCCAAGTCATATAAAATATTGAAAGTTCAGTGCCAATCTATTTAAGCCTCTAGTTTTATTTTCCTTGTCTTCTCCCACAACCTTAAGTTTAGGCTTCCCCCAAGGGAATGTCACCTCTCTCTTTTCTGATTCTAAATTCCCTGGTGTGGGGGGCAAGGAGGATCAAGGGGAAGGCAAACATTTTAATAATTAGGTTTGCTTTGCAGAGCTCTGCCGGGTGTTCCCACCACTGCTATTTGGCTAACACAGACCATCAGCAACCTTGAAGTGGCAGGTGGCCACTGATTGCTTTCTCAAAAGAGTGATGTATCACTTAGGGTGACCCATGGGAACCCCACTGTATAGTTCTCTGGTATAAGACCCCTAACTCTGCCCCAACTGGATTCCTCAGGACTCCCTAGAGCTGTCCTCAGTATCCAATGCTGGGGAGGCCAGTTTCTCGAATGGCTAACAGCACAACTTCCCTGCCAGGCTGTTCATTTTGACACATTGAGTCCTCCTTCCTTCTTTCTCTTTCTCCAGTTATTTCTTTATGTCTACTGGGACAGCCAGGGAGTTTCTGGGGGCAGAGGTGATTGTTCAAGTTAGTAGAATTGGTTCCGCCAGCCCTTAATAAGTCCCGGAGAATGTACTTAGCCCAATACATATTTTTGTAATTCTCTATAGAATATGAAAGTACTTAGTACCTTTGAGCCTCTACTTTGGGTCCTAGTCTCCAATTTTACACATACGTAACATCTGGTTATTTGGGAATGCCATTAAACTTCATTTTGCAAACCCTGAATTGTCATTTACAGTCGTAGGTACTGTGTGATAAACACCGAGTTAAGTGTTACCTGAAGAAACATTTAATGAGCAGCTAAAATGGGTTAGTCAATATAAAAGTGAAATACAAAAGTCTGATGCAGTTCAGACTCTCGTGCAAATAATGAATCACACTGTAACTTTAAAATAGAGAACATTTAAACCTCAAAATGGAAAATAGATTGGGGAGTGAAACAATGGGAAAGAGGAAAGGAGAAAAAGTAGCTTAAAAATAAAGGACTACGGAGAATCTTAAAAATGGAAACACTGCATAGTGAAAGAAAGTCTAACATGTTTAAGATTAAAATCTGAATCCCTGATGCCCAGACTAATCTCTTCTCTGCTTACGAATCGGAATCATATAGATTTCCATTAATATTTATCTCCTTGAATCTGAAGGAAGAGGAAAATCTATTTTGTATCATTGCCAGTTTTGCTGCTCGCATCATGAATTTCCCTGAAGGATCACATCAGGTTCATGAGGTGCCAGCTTTCCTTAATAACTAAAGTATTAAATATATAGCGTGGCATGCAAAGCAGCACTCGTCTTAAAAGTGAGTTACTTCAAAATACAAGAATCGCAAATTCAACTAAAATTTCAAATAAAAGGTAAAGGACTGGAATAGTCCATATGAAATTTCAAACCCAGAAGTTTCTCTTGCTTAAATTACTTTCACACTCTAATTTAAACTCAGAAACATTATGTTGCTGTCACACTTCTTTGTTCTCCTAAAGTTAAAAAAAAATCTGTATATAGCTGACAAAAAATAAGAACCTGTCTGCCAGCAAGTTCTCTATTCATATCCAACATACTGTAGAGTCGATGTAGAACACATGGTCTTTAACCACTAAAAAGCCTTTCTTTACTGGCTTAACACAGCAGTATGTTTCTCCAGCATGTTTGCACTACCCCCCAGTACATGTCTTACATAAGCGTGAATTTCCTTGGTTGTTTAAGTCAAGTCATGCAGTATTTTCACATGCTTTGATGTTGTGCATATGAGAATTATCATCTACATTTTTGAGAACTGCAATTCCTTGTGCCTTCGGCATTGAATTTAATACTGCTTGACTGACATCGTTTTAATTTCCATCCAACAGAAATGCCAATAATGTCTATGCCAGAAATTTGACATATTTAGTTCTCTCCAACATGGAATGGATTGAGCAGCTAAACTGGAAAATTTGGGGTCCGTTTTTGAAAATTAATTCAGCATAAAAATCATCAATGATTTAGAATTGTGCATGAAGTATTTTGGTTTTCCTTATTTCCTTATCCAGAAAGATCTGTTTGCTTCGTATCAGATGAATTTCTAAATTGCAAGATGCAGTCGGTTGTTAGAACACAAAGTAAACAGTTTAAATTAATCCCGATGCGATTTCCTTAATTACAGATGAGACCCATTGGCCACGATGGTTATCATCCCACCTCTGTCGCTGAGTGGCTGGATTCCATTGAACTAGGTGACTACACGAAAGCCTTTCTAATTAATGGCTACACATCGATGGACCTGTTGAAAAAAATCTGGGAGGTTGAACTTATTAATGTAAGTTGGTCTCTTAAAGACATTTTAGCCTTTTAACCTTTGATAAATGAAATTCTTATGGTAGATGGGTAATCTTTTCTTTCTTTGTAAATATCTGGACATCCAACATTTTACAGAGATGCCTTCGGTTTTAAATATACAGCTCTCCTGGTTCCAGTCAAGCTCCACTGTCTTTTGAAATTTTGATGTGAAGGGAACTAAAAGGGGTCTCAGGGTGTTTTGCGTTATCTAAGAAAACCTTCCAAGCATTTCTGAGTTTTCCATTTTAGGAAATATTGTCAGTTCAGGATGTGGACATGATAACAAATAGGCTCCCATGTTGATCTTTGTTCATATTCATTGTTAAAGATGAAAGTTATAATTTTTGGTTGTCTATCTCTATCACGTTTCTTTGTGTCTATTGCTTAATTGCATATACAAACCCTATACTTAAAGAGACTGCCTTTGTTCTTATTAAATCGGCTGCCGTAATATTGAAATTTTAGCTTCCACAGCTTATATCTAATCTTAAATTGTCTCTGTTTCATTCACTTAGTTGGCATAGGTTTTCTATAAAAGCTGGCCAATATATGTTGCCAAGTGTTTAAGTCCAAAGAGATCAACTAGATTGCATAAATATTTTTATTAATGTTACCTTTCTTATTTCATTTCTACTGCTATTTTATTTATAATGGCATAAAGGAATAGATGAAAAGACAATATATAATGATCATGTCTTTGCATTGTATTTGGCATCATGACCATTTCTTTTCAAAAGTGAGAAATCATTTAATCTTTTAGAGAATTTCTTAGATTTAGCTTCTATATTACAATAACTAAAAAAGTATTCATAAACTGAAAGATAGAGCAAATAAATTACCGCTAGTTCAAAAGTGCTCTGTTCTACTCTTTATGCCACTTTGTCTCCAAAAGTCGAGTCATACGTAATGCATGTCATTAAGTATTTTAAGTGATGGTCATTAGTGGTAACTGATTATTCTTTGCTTTTAAATATCTGTTTTAAAAATAATTTCTAGAACATCTCATAAAAACTGTTCTTTAATCTAAAAATCACTTTAAATGGACAATTTCTTGGCTCTTCTAATTTGCCATCATCGACTCTTAGCTTTCTGTGCTCGTCCCCTCACAAAAGCTATCATTTTAGGAGAAACTTGCCATCTTACTAAAAGCCTCTGATTAATTTTGTTCTTAGTCTGTATGACCATGGAAATAGCTGGAACTGTATTTCTTTTTGGTCGTATCAAGCAGATTTCAGTTCTCTGAGAACTTGACACTCATCTTATGGCTACTCTTGGCCATCAGTTAAAGGAGTACCTTCCATAAGTCAAACAAGCATGCTTCCAATTAAGTTACATTCTAGTCAATGACATAACTTGACAAACATCTCCATGTAACATCTTCTGAATAATATCGCTCCCCACTGAAGAACAAATAGGAAAGATAGCACAAGAGTCACTCAGCTAACTGGTATTAGCAGCAATCTCTCATTGAAAAGAATCAATTCAAAATAGAACTCTGTTATAAAATGTCTGAAGCAAGTATCATTGAAGCAAGATCATATTCTCTCAAAATCCAAATGCTGGGACTAGTGTTTTGGATCCACACTTTTCTCAGTGCTGTGGACACCAACAGTAGAAGTTTATGTTCAGTCACTGTGGCCAGGCCATGTGGACAGCTACAATGACTACAAAGTCAGTGGTGCCCGGTTTCCTGCCAGGGTTCTGTGACTTATCCATCACCACCCAAAGGGCCAACCAGCCTTGAGCTGGGACAGAAGTATAGCTTTTTCCACCCATACTGGCTCTTTAAGGGTTTTCCCTTTAGCCATATTTGCTGTAATACAATCTGACTTCAATCTGGAGAACAGAGGTGGCTGTCACAAGCATTGTTATCAGACTTGAAAAACACAGTCACTATGTTTTAGACCTTGAGGCCAGATTCCTCTGTCCTGAAGTATAACATCTGCATCTAACACCAGCATGTTCCCTGTTTTGTTTTATATTATTGTTTTTAAACTGGTAGAACTTAAAGTTTCTTGTGACATCTTTATAGGCAAGTTCACACTCTTGATGAGGAGGCTTTGCAAGTCATTTAACTCAGTAGATATATTTATTATAAACAAAACCAATCTGTTTTTGTTTGGAAATCAAAGAACAAAGTGTTTGTGTCTATTAGAGCTGCTCTGAGCATAGTTCATTCGATAGTTTAGGGTTGTTGGGTTTTAAAAGGAGAGAAAGGCACAAATATGTGTGCCTTGTGGCTTATAAAGCTTTTGACTGGTCTCAAATTCAAGACTTTTATTTATCCCAACTAATGAGGACTGTATCTAAATATAAGATAACATCATGTATAACATATGGGCCCAGTAATTATATATTAGGTATCATAACTTCTTGTTTTCTAGCCTAAAGAGAATGTACAGTCACCTTGAGTTAGATCAAACCTTATTAGGGAAATTCACATCCCGAATCTTTGTAATGACTGGATAGTTTTAAGGAAACCAAATGTCTTCAATGACTTGTTTTATGTAAAGTGAAGAGAGAAGTTCAAGTGTAGGCTGTCTTTGATACAGAGGTCTGCTACTGGTGGGGAAGAGACTGGAAAATGAGGAGTCTGACTGCTGATATGATTATAGATAACTTCAGCATCATTAAATGTATTGATTAAGCCTCCACTTTCACATGTTATTATGCTTAATATTGGACAAATGATAATGCAGTCTAGTGAACACAATAAGTTTATTCGAAGTATTTTCATGATGAAATAAAAACTATATAACGTTGTAACTTAAAAAGTAACAAATATATTTGAAATTTTAAACTTTAAAAAAGTCTCCAAAGACCTTTTCTTCATAGAGATATTACCAAGAAATACCAACTAATGTTGGTATTGCCTTAGAAAAATAAGGTTATTTGAATAACCTAATAAAGCTTTTGGTCACAAAGCTACACAAGTGAAGGGGTGAGGGAGAGTAGTGGAAATCTCATATCTTAATATCAGCATCGTCAGCAGGGAAAATAAAGCATAGAGAAACTTTTAAGACAAAGGTATTGCCTATTTTACAGGCCTGTATGTGTCCAGACTTAGAGACTGATGTATATGCCAATAATTATTCCCTTTATTCCCTAACCTATGCTTTATATTTAGAAGCTGATGTTTTATCAATATCTCTGTTTTGTTTCTCTGTCTACCACTACCTTTAATAGCATCATTAACAGCACTTTTGAACTGATATTTTGGTGTTAAAAATATAAATATGTTGGGAGAGATCGTCAGGCAAATTATTCCCTCTGCCAATGCTAGCTAGATGAAACTCTAGCTTGAATTATACCCCTATACAAAGGCTTGGTAAGAGAATTAAAGACCAGTTAGCAGTGCATAAGTACCTGAATGTTTTTAAATCAGGTTTTTTAGGCCTTGCATATGATAGCATCAGGTCTATACAACAGTTCATACTACATGAAAATTTTAGACAAAAGAGTTGTATATTCTCTGCATAAAATATGTATGGATAATTATTAAATTATCCATTTCTAGACAAAGAAGGTGTTATTCTTATGAAAAACAATGTTAATTTATTTTACCACTGTGTACCTACTAAGGGGATTTTGGTAAGACAAAATAAATTTGATCTCTGTCCAATTTATTTATGAATCTCGATGTAGAACATATTATTAATTTCTTCCCAGTGTATTTACCAAGGAAATAATTCTAGCTCAGGCTTATGATATTCTACAGTATTGATAATGATAAACATAGCCATTGAGTGAACAAAATGAAATTCAGGCTTCAGTGCATTCTTAAAACTCTGCTAACAAGTACAAGACTAGCTTTAAAAAATCTATCTGCAATGGTTGGTTGTGTTTTAAATATCCTTAGGTAGAAACAAATAAAATAACCACGAATGTGATTTCCATGTGTCCCATGAAAATCATTTGGACTTATTTTGCAACTGTAAATTGATTAGCAAATCATTTGCTTCTTGCCTGATAGCTGCTAAAACTGTACTTGCATTACTCTTTTATTTAGGACTGTCAAATTTCTTTTATTTTCCTTTTGCAATGTTGTTGATTTAATTTCTACCTTTCCAAGGGAAATGTTGTGATAATCTAATCACTTGGAGATGTACCGAGAAATTTTCAAAGGAAACATTCTAATTTTGTGTTAAATCTGTAATAGCGTGACTTTATTTGCCTCAAATGCTGAAGAGACATTGGCCTCTCAGTATCAAATTTAGATTTATTATTTGCTTTGATGCTTTTATTTCATGATCAGCATTATAAACTCACACTCCTATCTCCTCTGCCCTCATTGCTATAACGGCAATTAAATTCACTTCCTAAAAGTCTTTTTTGCATTGTTTATATGATTGTGTGAATGTGCATGCATGTGTGTACGTATTGGATAAAGGCAAATGGGAACTTGTCCTCCCAATCAGCAAATCCATAAATTGCAAGGGAAGAGTGGGGAGGATGAATGTTATAATTCCATCTCCAAACCAATTATTTCCACGCCACGGAAGCTACATCAGTCAACACTTCAAATGTTAAAAATTTTAATCAAAACCAAAGGCTTTAACTAAGTAACTGGATATGAGTATTCAAGTGTGAAGCGAACGTCAAAATTACCTTTGGATTTAAGCATTTCATCGATACCCACATACATTCAGTGCAGCTAACTCTTCAGAAATCTGCAGGACAGCTAGACCCAGTGTCTGAGCTTCAGATTTTCTCAGGCGCATGTCAAGTAAAGCCCCTGGACTCCACCCCTCACTCGCTACATCAAAATTGCAAACTCTTCCAGTCCTTCTCTTGATGCCTCCCTCACTTGGCCTATGTTTTAGAAAAGACATGCCCTTTTTCCCTTCCTCATATGACATGGACAATCTTCTCCCAAGTAAATACTCACCTTCCAGTGATTTTTAGCCCTTTCACATATGGCCTGGAGGTTGGTGATTAATGAGAGCTGGCATTATTGATTCCACGACCTTTCGGCATATT